TATATATATTAGGCACAGCTTAACAAAAGTCAAATACTAATTAACTAGAATTCAACATAAACAAAAGGCTCAATTGTAGGCATATTAAATTGAACAAAGAAAAGAAAACTTAAAGCAACAATGTAAAATCAAACCAATTTCAAATATGAGCATTCCTATGCAAATTTAATAAATTTAAAGTTAAATAATTTTTTCAATACTTTCAATGCGGTTAAAACCTACACTATGATCAGAGGTTTCGCCCCCAATATAAGTTGCATTTTCTCCTTAATATTTGATTTAGTAAATTTTCCCACGTTGAAGACTCAGAACAAAATTCAAGATCTTTTTAAAATTAAATAATGCGGACTCCCTAATAACATCAAACAAAGATAAACGTCTGAGATATATCGCTGTCTGGTTTTAAAAAATTACATTGACCCTACTATGGTAATAACTAATGGACAGTTTCATATTATTGTAAATTTTCATTAAAATATATTTTAATTGCGCTCTGGAGTAATAAACAGTGTTATTTGTACTTTGCTATCTAGGCCTACTGTGAACAGTTTTATTTTTAGTTAGACCTGGGTTTTGGATAATCAAGTAGGCCTACATAATTATACTTATTTTTATATTTTAAGAACCAGCAAAATTATGCCCAGGCTCAGTGTTCTTCTTTTCTTGCCGATTTCAGGCTCAAAATGTTCTTATTTTGTTCTTATCCTTACACACTTTTCGAACATAGCAAATTGCTATCTAGGCCAAAATCAGTCCTCCTTGGATAATATTGGTCCAGCCAGGACTAGTTTTTGTTAGCCTAAGTTCCGCCTACGCCTGCTAGGCACTCAACCAATTACAGCACAGTGAATGGTTACTAATCGGTCGCATACGTTTTTTTGGGGTTTTTTTAAAGGAAAAAGCTTTTGGTGAGAAAATTGAAATTGAATCGACCAATCAAAATGAATGTGATGGCTTAAGTCCAATCTGAATCACCTTAGTACTACAGTAGATGTATTTCACAATTGAATTTTTTAATAGGAAAGAAGCTCTGTAGGATAGTGTAGAAATTTGCGAACAGAAAAGGTCGACGTTAGGGGTGGCGCCAGCGGGGGGGGGGGCGCCCCCCCCCCCCCCCCCGCCGTCGGGGAGGGAAAGCACAATTCGTCGGGGAGAAAACAAAATTATATGTATTTTCTACGTATTAGTATACTCTAAATTCGATTTAATAAGCCTTTGAAACCCCTAAATTGTTAAAATTTTCGGGAGCTTCGCCCCCTTGACCACTTTCGAAACCTTTTAATCGAAGCTCGACCACGCCCACATTGATTTTGTGGGAGAAATCTGACCCCTCGTTGGGGGAATCGGCCCCCTCTTCAGGGACATCGGCCCCCTCGTCGGGCAAATCCTGGCGACACCCCTGGTCGACGTGCTAACTTCAATTTTACCGTCTACTAAGGAATGTCCACAGATATGTTTTATTTTAATCATATTCTTAATTTATATATGTTCATCCTATGTATAAAAGCTGTTTACACTGTTGGATGTTTGAATGAAATACAATA